CTCTTTTTTCGTGACTTAACTTGAAAATTGAATTTACAATTGTAATTAAAAATAATTGGAAAGAAATTTAATGTACGTTAAAATAGTTATTTAATGCACCATAACTTTATCGTTCATCGTCAACAGTCAGTTATGTAATCCAGATAAAGTCATTCAGTGTAACAGAAATAAAAGGTGCAAATAATTGTTTATCACATTGAATAATTGGAAATCGAATATAAAAATAGATTGCGCGCACTGAATCAAAAATTAAAAAAAAAAAAATCATTTTTCCTCTATCAAAACATAACTGGAAAAAAAATTTACATTTTATCTTCATCTCGTCTCTGAATATCTGATTTTATTTCAATAATTTTATTGATTAACAAAGAAGATATAAAAGTTCACAATGAAAGTCTACGATACATGTGACTTTTTTATGTTTAATTTATTTTTATCTTCACTCAATGTTACACAATCACAACATATTTCACAAGTTTCAAAATTTACCATTAGATAAAGTAAAGATATAATAACGAAAAAAGAAGACGAGAAAGAATGAAAATGTACGAAAGAAGCTTTCTGAAGATCAGCTGTAAGCAGATCCTGGCCATTAACCTAGCATCTCGAAATGGCATCCGTGTTAATGCATCGTTCACATCGTTAAAAAATTGGCGTCTTCGTCGTTTAAAGTGTTCTCATTAATTATGAATAATATGATTACGCGATTCTTCCCATGGTTTCCCTTTTGTGAGACCCGGCTTCAGCACACGAGCAACGAGGAACTCGGCAGTGATTCACACAGAGAAGCGCGCCAATGAAATTCCGATCTTTGAAATTTTAACACGAAACAATTATTTAATTTGAGCGATAATCGAACTGATACCTTGTCGATAAAATGATGAATATTTCCATGATTCATATCTTTCTTATCCAATTGCTCAAAAACACGCTCTGCACGATACAATTAAATGATAATTCATCGTGGTATTTAAATATGTAAACAGTTACGATGTAAAATATTCGAGGGATGATAATAAAATTAGATTTCTTCGAAATATATTTCTATCGGAAGAAAAATCTATAAGAAATCTTTCGATCGATTTATATATATATCAATTCGTACAAACGTCCAACCAACGATTCGTATAATATTTTCACACGTGTCTCGAACACCTTTCGTCTTGTTATTGTTATCGCAAAACACGATCCTCCGAGGAAAAAAGCAGGAAACAACTTTGCACGAATCGATTAAAATGAGGATAAGTAAGAAAGAATTATTCACTAAATAATATTCTTTCGGCATTGATATCGTTGTGATCACAATCAATACGTAATTATACGTAATTAATTAATACGATAACAAAATATTTTCAACCTTACCTGATACCGGTCCTCAATGAAAAATCGATGCGTTTCAACAATCCCACTGAATCATCCTCGGTCCTGTTTGCAACAACGTATCCTCTCGATGGTATCTCTTTCTCCTCCGTCAAAAATGCACAATTAAGAGAGGATTGAAGACCTGACAGAGCCACTACGATCGCGGATTATACGATCAGGTACCGTATGTTTAGACCGACCGAGCGGGTCCGGGCGACTGAACGTGCCTCTCGTTGCGCCTTCACCGACAGCCTCGATTCCTACCTTCTCTTTCTCTTTTCCTCTCTCTCTCCTTGCACGGATATCTCCCTTTCTCTCTCTGTGTAAATAGAAATTGTACAGTGACAATCTGCCTGGTCGATTACGATCTTTCGGCGCGATGATCGGTGAAACCGATTTATATAAATCGATTCGTGTTTCGTGTATACGCAAGATTACGCTTTGGAACATTTGTGTAACTTTTTATCATTCCCGTAAAATAATGACACAACTGTGAAAAAAAGTTATTTTTGCAAAGATAAGGATGTTAATTTTTCTCTTCTTCTTCGTCTAATTTGATTCGATAAATTAATAATCAGATTAATAACGAAATTCGATTAATTTTAAGGTTTAACACTCATAATTGGTACTAAATAATATTTCATAAATCAATTAAATATTTCTATAATTATTAATATATTTATATATTTAAAGTTTGCGTTGTAATTTTTCTTTCTTCAAAAATTATTCTCCAGTAGTATTTTAACAAGTACAAGCTTTTGCTTGGAACAATTATTTAATCAGATAATTAAATATCGAGTGTATCTTTTATCGTTAAATATATATTTCTTATTACAAGTGTGTTTCGTGTAATTTTTTTTTTTTGGCATAAATTAAAATTTGTACATCATTTTTCTATAATGAACGATAATTTCTCTAAATATTTTTCTATATTTAAAATGGTTTAATATCAATTTTTAAACTTTAAAATTTGATCATAAATCAAATCATTTTTATCATAATAAATATAAAAAAAATTTGATTAATTTGCTACAGTGGATATACAATTTCTCGAAATTGCTACTCATGATCTAGAATATTCATTTCCGTTACTCTTTCCTCTATTTATAAATCATCGTACAGATTAAAGTTATGCAGCGATGTCGTATAGGCGTGGAATTGACATTGAACAGGAAAGGGGAATTATCGTTATCCGAGTTGCATGGGGAAAGGCGTGTGAGAAAAGATTTGTGACATTTGAATATTTAACGCTGTTGAATTAAATACGTGACATTTGAATTCATATCGAAAACCATTAAAATACATCAATAAAACGTTGTAAATTATAATTAAATCACGGATTGCAACTTTTTTTTTTCCAACTACTCGATATTCGTAAAATTTCCTTCTCTTTATTATACTTTTTTTGCTATTCGATATAAGTAAAGGAAGTAATTTATTTATTTCGTAAATGAATTTATCATTATCGTATTTGTACTCCTTCCTTTTCGTTACTTTTCTACTTGTGCTCCATGCAAATGTGGGCACCGACATTGAACAGTTGACATTGAACGCCGGGAAACGGTCATTAAGCTCAATATCAGTATATACCACGATCGACTGCAGTGTCACTAACCCCGATAAAACAGTGATTACTCTCACCTTGCTTGAATACAAAACGTTTTGCACTTTTTCTAACGAAGCGATAGGTAGCTGAGCATGCAGGTATGTCGAAGCTATGGGTTGAATTTAAATGATTATGGTAAAAAGAAAAGTAGCCACAGTAATGTAATAAAATAAAACCTATATGTAGGAAAACTTTGAATAAATTTTCTGATTGATATTAAAATATCAAATTCAAATAGATATTAGTCTTTATTGATTATTAACTTTAACTTTTGTAAGTTTCTTCTTCTTCTTTTTAAGTTTTATCTATATAATATTTGATATATAATACTCTATATTAACTTTAACTTTTATAAATTTCTTTTTTTTAAGTTTTATCTATATAATACTTGAATATTTATATAAATATAACATTTTATCACAGTTACAACAAATATTTTAATCCTCTTTATATCGTGGATAATCTTTAAAGTGCATTTTATTATAAGAATTTTTTTAGATATCTATCCATTGACGATAATTACGATATCTATTGATTTGATTCTTTGGATTTATTATAAGACAATCGTCATGCATCGTCGAGTGATATGAACCTATATCGTATACATGAGAACATGTATCATTTTATTGGTGCTTTTGAAAATGTGTGTACAGTTTAACTGTAAAACTTAATGTTTCGCTGTGAAACGACGAGGCAGAGCTCGCGGCTGGTCTGCAATTTTCGTTTCGCTCCATTGTTCACGAGCAATAAAAATTGATCGTTACCCGTGTCCTGTATTACTGGTTTCATATGCAAGTTTACAAGACCAGAGGGTGATGAACATATTTTTTTTTTTTCTTTTATTCACTACATCTTTCCTTTTATCGAGAAATGTCAGCGATAATGCATGTTAAAATAAGTACCATGGTGCACGTGAAAACCCTCTAGTCTTTCAGCGTTAATGTTGTCCACGTTTTATTATCAAGAAGGAGTAGTATCAGCTACATCAGATGGGTTTAACATGTTTTTCGCCATATATCGTAGTTAGAAGAAATACACTGTTTGATAAAATGGTGATATACTACGATAGCTCAACTGGGCTCTGTTAAAATTATCGTAAATGAAATTATGCGATGCTGGATTATAATTTATAATGATTATATGAAAAAAATTCTCATTCAAATGTTAGTAATTTGCATCATAATAATGCAAGAGTAATATTATTTCTTCTAGCGAGAATAATTAAGAATAATTAAATATTAGAAATTGAAACTCAATCTGATAAATAGAATGATTTCTATTTTGATTATAAGTGGTTACAATACGCATCTTATGTGGATTACGTTATTCCGTTATTTGACAAATATTCGAGCAAATTCATTTTGTCATGTTCTTTATAGTGCACGGGATGGTTTATTGTGCGAAATTATTGTCAGAAGTGGAACTTTTCTGCATTGTATATCGTGTAATTGTATTCCTGTCTATTGTAACTATATATCCGTATGTTTTTTCATTTGAGATAGACAATAGAAAAGATATTTTTTAATTTCATACTCTCCTAAAAATTTATATATTAAACTATTATTCATATATTTATTTGACTAATATTTCAATTAATTCACTAATTGATTAATAGCAATAATATTGATTTATTTATTAATAAATATTTTATTTCTTTAAATCTATATTCATTAGATTTTAATTTAATAGGTTTGATGTCAATTCATAAACTCATTTATAAAAAATTTTTAAATAATGCGATATTACATTTCAGTAATTTAAAAGAAAATATTTAATTTAAAAATTTGTTTGAATGAAAATAAGAAAAATTCAAATAATAATTGAATTATTAAATCTAATTTAATCTAATTTGTTAAATTTTTTTATATGTGAAATAAATCAAAAACAAGTGTCACTCATTTTTGAAATTCGCTCAACTTTTATGCGAAACTTGGCGCGATGATCGCAAATAGAGTTACCGATCGAGTAAAGAGATTGATTCGTTTTCTAGATGGAGTGAACATTCTAAACAATTGTAATATATGGTGCGCGATTCGCGTCCTAGGTTTGATGAGTGGTGAGAGGGCCTCGATTGAACTGCGATAAGTTTCTTTCTAAAAACATTAGCGTCGAGGTAAATGTATTGCCGAAACAACGAACTACGTTCAGAACGATAGTGTTACGCACAACGTATACTTGACTTGTTCTTAATTGTATATAATACAAGAGTAATAAAAAAGGTTAATACTGATAGAACAAAATAACGACGTCTGTAAAGATTGGCCATCTTGGAAAGATATGTCATATTTGTTAAAACGTCAACAATATAGTGTATATTATTCAATACATGCCGCCAGCTTGCTTTAACTACGGTTGACTACACATTTAATCATCGGAAGTAAAGGCGACACGGTGGCGTATTTGACACGCGGACGTAATCGTAAAAGAAGCACAGCTTCATCAAATGATGAATCGTACTGACGGATTAGTACAACGACGACGTGTGGTTAATAGCAGTAGTGGCAGTGGTCTAGGACAGGATGGTTCAAACGATATTGGTAATGATAAACTATCTGGCCATGGAATGGATACGGACAGTAATACGCAAAAAGATCTTAATTCAAATCCCAAAATCGACGACGATTCTGATAAGGAAACAAGATTGACACTCATGGAAGAAGTTTTATTACTTGGCTTGAAAGACAAGGAGGTTTGTTGACATTACTATTTTTCAATCTTATATTTAATTTCTTTACTGTTACATCTATCAAAATATACGAATCAGTACCTGAAGTTTAAGATATATATTTTTGACAGGGTTACACATCATTTTGGAATGATTGCATAAGTTCTGGATTACGTGGTTGTATTTTGGCAGAACTTGGATTTCGTGGTCGAGTAGAATTAGAAAAAGCTGGTATGCGCAAAAAAGGACTATTGGTGAGAAAACTTCTTTTGAAAAATGATGCTCCCACAGGAGATGTTTTGTTAGATGAAGCTTTGAAACATTTAAAAGAAACTGATCCACCTGAAACTGTTCCTAGTTGGATTGAATATCTTAGTGGTTAGTTATATAGTTTAATAATATACATATTTATTGATAATAAATTTTGTATATTATTTTTAATATTGTTTTTTTTTTTTATTTAGGAGAAACATGGAATCCACTTAAATTAAGATATCAATTAAAAAATGTTAGAGAAAGATTGGCCAAAAATCTTGTTGAAAAAGGAGTTTTAACAACTGAAAAACAGAATTTCTTACTCTTTGATATGACAACTCATCCTCTTACTGATAACCTTGCTAAAAGTCGACTTGTAAAAAAGGTAAAGTATTTATTAATTATTACCAATTCTCTTGATATACTATTTGTTTATATTTCTATAAAAATATATTGCCAAAATGAATATTAATATTAATAAATATAATATATATTATCCATATGCATTCATGTGTTTTTTAATATTTTCAAAATAAATAAATTCTTTAAATTCTGTTTAAACTTTATACGTATGTATAAATTTAAACTAATTTTTTAAAAAAATTATATTTTTTTTTGTATTATATTATATAATATCAAAGAATATTAATTTCATATTATTAATACATTTTTTAAAATTATCTATTTGCTAATAATATTATAACAATATTAAAAATATATTTTTTATATTTTTTAGATTCAAGAAGCTGTATTAAGTCGATGGGTCAATGATGCTGGTCGTATGGATAGGAGAACACTAGCTTTAGTAATTTTAGCTCATGCAGCTGATGTATTAGAAAATGCATTTGCACCACTCTCAGATGACGATTATGAAATAGCAATGCGAAGAGTACGAACATTATTGGACCTTGATTTTGAAGCAGAAGCTACTAAACCTAATGCTAATCCAGTTCTTTGGGCAGTATTTGCTGCATTCACTAAGTAACAGTCTTTTTACCAACTAAAAGTGTATAAAGCAAATACTGGATATTAGTATGAATACTTGGGACTATTAATTTTACAGAAATTTTTGTTGCAATCTGGAATGGTGTAGCTGCAATCATCTTTTATGATCATATAATTCAGACCAAATAACTTGAACCCGACTGTGTAAAACAGATTTAGAATATTAGTCATTTCCATTATTGTTATTTAATACATTTGATAGTTGAATTATGAATGTTCATACTTAAATATTATAAAAAAGGAAAAAATAACAAAATTTAAAGTGTGAATGAGTACTTTGCGTGTGGGGTAGTGCCATGACAGCTCAGGAAAGAAAGATTGCACCATTGAGTTTTGTCTCATATTTTCTATGTCTATTGTGGCTGCACATGGACTGCAAATATGTTTATAGATGCGATATTTATGTGGCTAATATTCACTGTCAGATTAAGTGCCACATTTTTAATAGTTATCTAAACTTTAAAGCGATGAAAGTAATTCTTTGCACCGTTCTGATAATGATGATCGAATTCTTACGAATTTTTTTATGTCAACAAAACTAGATTATTGTAGATTTACTTCCAAAATTTAATTTCTTTTTTTAAACCAGTGTACATTTATAGCTTCACTAGGTGGCAGTAAAGTACTCAGATGTCAAAAATAGTTAGTTTATGAACGTCACTTCTATCTCGTTTAAATCTTTCTCGATGTATTATTACAATCTATGATTAAATGTAACGCGGGAACAGTTCGAGATAGCAAATGGAACGTCGAAGTTTATATTTTTAATTAATACGCGACATGTTCGTATGTTTTCGATGAATTTTGTTACTTATCGTATATATGTTGCGATTATTAAAATTATACGATATAATATGTAAGTAGTAAAAATATAAAGTGGCGATTATCTGTTATAATTAATAATTAGTAAATCACTTTACGAGATCAATAAGGCAAACGTGATTAAAGTGACATGGAATTTTTCAAGAATAATTGTCGTTACTCTTTTATTAAAATGGAAAAATGTAAGTAAATATCAATAATATATATGCTATCATCTTTTACAAATTTATAAATGTGTATATGGTCAAAAAGTGTTTAATTTTTCTTTGAAAGTGTTCGTACACTCAAATTAAATAATTTTTTTTAACGAACACATTTAGATATTAAATATTTTGTAAAAAGTTTTGTGTTGTATATATGTATATGTATATACATACATACATACATACATATATATATATATATATATAAAAGGAAATATCGAAATATTTCATTCTTAAATAAATTTTTTATTATATATGTTTTAAAATAATAAAATTGTAAATTTACGTGCCTTTATTTAATGATTGGTCTTAAATTTTTAATAATGTTATTATTTTATTATTTTGTTTATTACAAACATTAAGTATTCATAATATTTCTAAGTAATTAACAATGACGTTTTTGAATATTTAATTCACAAATTATGTTTGTGAAAATATATATACTGACCTTTATAATAGAAGGTATATTGTTATTTTCAACAATATTTATGCTGATCATATTGATTTAAATAAGTTTTATATTATTATCTTTTATTTAAATGTATCTTTCATTTACTGTGAATTTTATATATATATTAAATACATGTAAGGATCAATTTTAGAGTTTATATTAAAGAAGATTAAATAATATTAAATATATTATCTTTCTAATTTTATATCTTTGATATAAAATTAATTAAAATTTTTTATTAATTTTAAAATTGTAGAATTAAAATTTAATTATTACTTTAATAAATTTTATGCATGGATTTTCTAATTTTAAATTAGTATTCTATATAATTTTTATTTGATTGATATTTCTTGGAAATGCTAAAATATTTATTCAATTGAATTCTTATATTCAATTATCTAAAGATATTTCAATTAATGTATTATTTATAATTTTGAAAGAATTGTTATATAATATATAATATATAAAATTATTTTATGTTTAAAATAATATGTATTATAGAATAGTAAATTTAT